ATGGTATATCACCTTCAAGGCAACGTGAAAATTTTTTATAAAATACCTAAAATCTCAACCATCCCTTTAGAATTACTGAGTTTTATGAATAAACAAGCCTAAGTCAAGATCCTGTTATCTAAAAGCATATAGACCTCTTAAAGAAATGTCATTTTGTTTTAATTATGTAACATGAATTTATTATAAAATTGCTTGTTGGAATAATCTCCATAGCATTTTGCTTTTTAACTAACTTTGAGAAGTTAAACTGATGGCCTTGCCAATGATCTAGTGAGGTACAAAGTCAGGGATAATTCAAGGAAGAAACAGAAAAAACCTTTAGGACCTGATCATCACTCTGGAGGTATAGCCACTCTAGGGATCCTACGTGGATTGGGAGAGAGGGGTTTCTGTGTATAGGCGGCCTGATCTGGAGGGGGAGGATGGTCAAGGCGGAGAAGAGGGAAAGATTATGAGACAAACTGCCTACTCAGATTGGTTTAGGTTTAGCTTTGCTGTAACAATGAAATGTGGTCGGTTTTTTTTGTTTATTTATTTTGAGAGAGAGCGAGCGCATGTGCATATGGTATGATCAGGGAAGGGGCAGAGAGAGAGAGAGAGAAGTAGAGAGAGAATCCCAGGCAGGTTCTGCATTCTGAGCCTGGAGCCCAACATGGGGCTCCATCTCATGAAGCATGAGATCATGATCTGAGTTGAAATCAAGTCAGACACTTAACCCACTGAGCCACACAGGTGCCCCTGAAATGTTTAGGTTTTTATATGTCATTCTCATATCAAAAGAGGATGATTGTTTGGTTTCTTATGTTTAAATATTTTTAATATATGATACATTGTTTATAAATCTGTTTATCGGAAGTTAATATGTGTGGTGATTTTAAACTAAATATTGCCAATTCTTTGACACGCCTTCATTAAAGGATCAGAGTCTAATTCCCCTGTCTAGAATATGGATGGCTTCAGCGATTTTTTTCTAACAAACATAATGTGATAGATATAATGCTGCATGACTAGTTAGGTCATACAGCTTCATCTGGCTCACTGTCTTAGGACACTTGGAACCCAGGAACCCTGTTGTGAGAAAGCCAAAAACAGAAGGACAGGCCATTGTGTAGGTGTTCTGACCTGATAATCCCAGCTAAGGTCCCAGTCATCAGTGAGTACTAATCACTAGACATGCAAATGAACAAGCCTTCAGATGATACAAACCTCTAGCCTATGAGCTGCTCAAGATGAGGCCAGGTGCATTAGAAACAATCTCTCCCTGCAGAGCACTACCCAGATCACATGTTCATGAGAATGCTGTTTTAAACCACTAAGTTTTGGGGTGGTTTGTTAAGCATTTGAATCCCTGTTTCTAGGGACTAGCTCTAGCTCAGGTTAGCTGTAACAAGTAGGAAGGAAATGGAGGAAGCAAAAGAAAATGTCCTCCCCCCCCCACTTTTCCTCGTTTCCTTAGATTGAAAATCTTAGCACCTCCTAGTACTAATTGTTGGCAATTAAGTATAGTTTTGAAGTGCCATTAGGAACAAAAAACACCATAATGGGGACCTGGTCATCTATCTAAACTCTTCCTTGAAGGCTTAGTGTCTGAGCAGGAAAAAGAGAAAGCTTGAGTCTATTTCTCCTTTTCTTCTCCCCTAAGTATACCTAGTTTCAAAAAGGAGGGGAAAGTAAGATTTAATCATTTCTTGCCCTCGTCTCTCTTCTGAATTCAAATCTTTTAAAGGTGATTTTTTTTCCCCACTAAATGACTACACAGACACTTCAATCTTATGAAGGGACCACACCTACAACATATTTGCATTCCTTATCAAGGAAGCAGGATTTACTGACCAAAGTGATACACTAAGGACACCACTCTGTCTTCCTTGAAAGGTTCCTCAGGCTCCTCTCCTTCTAAATGTGGACACTCCCTAGGGTTCTCTTTTCAGACCTCTTCTCACTTGACACACTTTCTGGTCCGTCTTACACATTCCCATAACTTTAGTTACCACCTACATTTTAATGACTCTAGAGAGCCAGACTTTACTGCCAACCCTGATGGGATAGTTCCCTGATAGCTGCAATCCTACACGGACAAAACAGGGTTCCTCCTCCTGAACCTGAGGTCCACTCCTCCTCCTAGTCTACACACTAGAGCAGAAACCTGGGGATCCCCTGTCTTTGCCCCACACAACCAGTTTTCCATTCCACCAATTCATTACTTTTCTCGAATCCCTCTTCTCTCTAGCCCCACTGTCATTAGGTACACAGCAGTGGTCCCAATCCATTCTTACTTCCATCACAGGCTGCTTTACATTCCATCTTCAAGTTCCAGCACCCCAACCAATGTAATCTTTTCACACCTGACCACGCACTTCCATTAAAATATCCTATCTTTGTTCTCCCTTTCCTATAGGTATTAATCTTGAGGCCCAATAGTCCTTTACTCACAAACCCCTTGACAATGTATACAAAATTGTAGTATAGGTCTATAGATACGTTTTTATGGAGAGAGGCCATATTCCTTTCCATAGGTTCTCAAAAGGATATGTGTCTGCAAAAAGGTTAAAAACTTGAAGGTCTCAGGCTAAAGTCTGAACTCCTGGTCTTTGTTCAGCTTCCTTTCTCATGCCTGTCTTCCCTGCCCTCTTGTCCCGTGCTTCTCCCTCTGTAGTTCCAGGCCTTTGTACATGCTGCTTTACTTGCTCACCTTGGGAAGCCGTTTCCTTTCGTAGCTGGCCTAACTTTTGCCATCCATGAAACCACCTTCTTTCTTTTGAGAAACATCTCAGGTCACACTACCTACAGAAAACTGTGCAGGGAGGGCTAGCCCAGCTGGGAGTCAACTGTTGGCTCCCTGAAGCCAGCCTAGCAATTGCTCTTTTTTAGCATTTATCCCCTGGATTTCCAAACCGGAAAGATGGTGGTGGGAGTGGGGGGGGGGGGGGGGGTGGGGGGAGAGGGAGAAAAAAAATAAAACCTATAAAGCCTGTAAAACAAGCAATGACTGATAATTGTTTCTGCAGCACTTATACACTGTAGAAGAATGCCAGGCTGTAATATACATTTTTATAGTACTTTCTGGGGAGGAAGAAATTGGGTGGCAAATATGTAATTTATATTTGCCAGCAGTGTTGGTGATAAATACCACACACACTTTCCTGTTCCAGAATATTGTACAGGAATTTTCAACATCATCCAGTTTTCCTTTATTTTATACCTACACACCTCATGGTGTTACTTATTTAATAAATCCTTTAACAATGCAGTTCTGATATTCTATAACTTGCTAGGAGGACTGCTGGGTCATATATCTGAATTATTGCTTCTGGTTCACCCAACACCAGAACAGTCTACCATCACAATGTGTCCCTAAAATTCTCCATCTACTCTGGAGTATGTTCCAACTTTTTAAAATAAAACTTGGGTCTGACTAGTACACGAGTGAGACCTGCTGTGCCTTATAGCACAAGCTCTAGCCTTTTCTCTTAAAAAAAAAAAAAAAAAAAAGTTCTTTTAAATTGTTGTCGCTTAACATAGCTCTTTGCCCTTCTCAGGCCGACTGATCTGAGTGAAGTGTACTGCCCAGGCTAGTAAGGCATCAACTTATAAATAGCGCTTACCGCGCTGAGTCACCAAAACCCCGAGTTTCCCCAAATAGCTTATAACGACTGCAGGAATCATAGCCCCCCGGAGTGGTGACTGACTCCCACCACACACCCGCAGGACTTTAGGCCCGCGCCTTGAGTGGGTCCACAGCCACCAGGCGCCCCGGGAACGCGGGCAAGACCGCCAAATTCCCAACCGAGAGTCGAGTGTTGGACCTCGCGCGCACTAGGACGGCGCTCTTGGGACGCAGAGGGACTTGGCCTTGACTGCTCCGGGGCCGCCCCGCCCCCTCCGGAGCTAGGAGCCGCGGGGGGCCGGCACCAGCCTCCGCCCAGCGCCACCCGCTCACACAATGGGACGTGTCGGGAGGGGGTGGCCACGGCTCCCGCTCTGGTCCCAGGCCCGGGTCTTTGGATTGCTGGGGAAGCAGCGACGCGCTAGGGCAGTGAGGAAAACCCCTGTCCACCCTCCGTCCCCTCCCACGCTTCGAAATGGCTACAGCCGCAGTTACTGGGGGCTGGAGAAAAAGAGATGGGGGAGGGAGCGGAAGTGCCACCCCCTGCAGTCAGAGGATGGTGACGTCACCCCTACAGTCAGCCTGTAGCGGGGGCGTCTGCCCGTCACGTGGTGCAGCCCCCCCTCCCCGCCGAATCCCGCGCGCGCTTCCCTCCCCCAGCTCTGACTCCCACCTCTCCCCCGCCCCTTCTCCCCAACTTTCACCCTCCCAGCTCCAGCACTGCTGTCAACAGCGCCAGCTCCGCCCCCTCCCCCGCGCCCAGAGTAACCGCCACGGCGGCGCGGCGGGCGCTCGCGCACAGGTCCTGGGCTCCTCGGAAGGAGAGCGTGCCCCCTGACCCCACCTTGCCCCCCAGTTCCTGGCGCGCTGGGTGCGTGGGCACCGGAGCCAGGGTGAGCGGCGGCGTGTGGCAACAGCTCTCCTCTGCTCAGCCCTCCCACAGCAGCCGCAGGACGAGGCGGAGACGCCAGGTCCGAGCTCGGAGGGGGCGAGGCACGCTCAGCGGCCTCCTGGCCCTGGCACCTCTCTGCCGGGGGTCGGTCCCCGAACGGGAGCGGCAGCCGGGAGCCCGCCTTCGACCCGCGCCGGGCGGCCGGCGCCCAGCGCCTCCGCAACGCTCCCGCCTCCGCTCTCCTTGCCGCCTGGGCGGCGCACGCTAGTCCTGCCTGGCTTCGTCTCTGGCCGCGGCGCGGGCAGCGGCCGTAGGACGAGGGGCCAGGCGCTGACCGCTTCCTAGAGCCCCCTCGGTCACCCCGCCGTGGACTGCTGGGGTTGCAGATTTGGTGGCTGTCACTGCTTCGCCTCGTTCTATTTTTCCCCTCAATTCCCTTCTAAAAGTAGAGGCTTGGGGGAGGGAAAAAAACCAGTGTAGAAAGGGGCGGTACGAACTGACCTGTCAACGGCGGAGGAGGAAGACCCCCGGTCGGGGCGAACTCTCGAGCCCGCGCGGGGACCGGAGCCCTGGGTTCGCGCGGAGCGGTGCGGCGGCAGCCGTGCCTCAGCCAGGTGTTCCCCCCTCGGCGGGGCCCGCGCTACCGCGCCCGCCCCCTCCCCTGGCGCGGCGCTCCCCGCCCCGTCGCCAGGGACCAGGGAACCCCCCAGCTCGATTTTTTGTGCAGTTTCAGCAAAGCTCCGAGGAAGTTGGTCCTTTTGTTCCACTATTTATAGATTGCGTCAACATTGCGAAAAGGAGAAGGCGGAGCGGTGGCCCCTCCCCCTCCCTCCGCCGGCTCCTGGGAGAGAAAAGCCCCAGCACACGACCTAAGTACACAGCGAGCCAGCCGCCCGCCCGCCCCCGGCCTCCTGCTTGCCGCTTCCCCCTCCTCCTAGCCCGGGCCAGCGCGCTGCCAACCCCGTCACGTGCCCGCTCGGGAAAACCAGCTCCCCGGGGCTCCGCGCCGCCCGCCAGGCTCCGTGGCGGCTGCGGCCGCCTCGCTCAGCTGTGCGCCCAGCTCGTGGGTTCCGGCTGTAGCCCGAGTGTCGCGCACAGCGTGGGCACCCACATCTTAGCCACCCGGTGGAGACCCCTGGTCCGCGGGTCGAGGGTGTGCTCACAAACGTTCGGCGCTTCCGCCCTCCACCTCCCCCACCCCTCCGCTTCGGGAGCGCCACCGCCCTGGCCGCGAAGTGTGCGCGCGTTCGGGCCTCGCCTCGGGGCCAGGATCCTGACTTGTCCCTCGCGCGGTGGCTTCCCCAGGCATTGGGATGCCTCCTGACCCCGCACGATTGGATGACGGCGGGGGACTGAGGCTTGCGGAGGTGGCTCCCAGCAGCTCCCAGGCTGGCCCGCGGAGCGCGGGAAGCGCGGTGTGGCCGTTTCAAGACGCGCGGAGAAGCTTTCCCTACTCCGCAGGTGCAACGAGGCGTTGCGCGAGTTCACTTACAGCTCCCGGGACTACTGGGGACCGAGGAGTTTGCAGACCTAAGCCGCAGTGGGGGGGGACTATGGCTTTTGAGGAGTTACTGTAAGTTAGATCTGTGACAAAAACATTAGAACTTTCCTTCAAAACCTGATGAGATGATAGGCCCCGCCATACCCCCGAAATGAAACTGAGCTCCCTGCTGGCCTGAAGCCTGTTTCTGAGCTCGATGTAAACAAGGAGGGAGGTAAATACGAGAGGAAGGCCTTATAACAATACCAAGTGCAAATAGCTAGTTTGAGTGTAATTTGCCTTCTAAATTTATGGTCTTTTCCCTAACTAACTTATTTAGATCACAGTTTAACTTGCCTGAGTCGGAGTAAAATATTTTAGCCTATCATATCACGGATGGAGAAAAGCCCAGGCTGAGCTGGGACGAGTGCAGGAAATGCGTTGGACCTTTCCGGGCAGCTGGACAGTGTGGTAAACAGTCTGGAAGGGTTATGTTGTTTTCTACGAAGTCTGGAGAGACTGTACTCGTGCATTCAGCCTCGTTCAGGCTCGAGAGCAGGCTGGGGGAGTGGGGGCGGGACCTCTGTACCGGCCAGCGCCCGCGAGCCGCGCTTCCTGGCCCCGCAAGGGGCTTGTCCAACCAGGAGCGCTTTCGCAGGGGCCACACTGACAGCAGTAAGTTTGCCCCTATTTGAGAAAACTTTCCAGGTTTAGGCCTTGTTTGTTTGTTTGTTTGTTTGTTTGTTTGTTTGTTTTAAGGAGGCGAACTTAGGCCATGAATTCATCAATTTAGCAACATGTGCTTCGCTCGCCATAAAGAGGCGAGAAGCAAAGCAAACCTGTGCAGTGGTTGCTGGGTTTGCAAAGCGCGGAGCTAAGCGGACTCGCAGCAAATTGGACGACGCGTTGGTCTCCTGACTCCTGACAGGGCTTAGAGTCTGGTGGGGGAACTCGCTCTTAATCTTCTGGCTTTCGTGCCTCGGCTCTCCTTCAAGTTAGTGAAAGGCCGCCTCTCTTCCCGCCTTTCTACCCTGCCTTGTCTTCTGTATTTGAAAGACGCAGCCTGCCTAAGAAAGCGAATTCGTTTCTACGCCAATTTTGTTGCACCCATTCTTATAAACCACGTTTCTTTGCATAAAGAAAACAAGCCAGGGCCTCCTGGTCCTTCCCGCCCCTGCAAATGACAGGGCGGTACAGGCCTTAGCCTTCCTTCCCCCTTCCCGTTTAGGGCCAAACCGCGGTGTCCCCGCCACTTTGCCGGGACACGTGCCTTTCACCCCCACTTTGTTCTTCCGCAGTCTTTTCAGCTGCGGAGGGGAGGGAGCGAAAGTAAAACGAAAGCACCCGGGTGCATCAGTTGCAGCGGCTTCCCAGGACTTCCCTGAGCGCGGCTGTGGGAGGTCAAGTTTTGGGGTGGGGAGGCAAGGGTGGGCGCCGGAGGTGCGCTGAAATTGGGTTGGAGGGTGGTCCCCGGAGAGCGCCCGGGGGTTGCCAAGAGCCCCAGCGCTTCTCCTCCCCCCTGGGAGAAGCGAATGCCAGTCCAGAAGGAAAGTTTGGCCTGGGTCGGGAGTTGAAATTCGAGACTGATTAGGTCTGTGCGGAGGGGACGCAGAGGCAAAGAAGTGTGGCGCGGAGGCGAACGTTGGCCCCTGGAGGCGGATCCCGGGGCGAGGCCCGGGCTAGCGAGTGCGCACAGAGGCCGCAGAGGCCCACGGAATTGTTGCTCCGCTCAGGTTAGATAAGCACCCAGACTCCCCGAAAAACCAAAGTTCTACGTGGTATAAGGATTTCAGGAAACTTCGGTGACATCCTCTGCTCCCGCCCTCCTCCCTCGCGGTAGTTACCGCGGGGACAAAGGCGGCCTGCGCAGATTTGGACGAGGCACGGCCCTTGTGGGCGGCCTTACCGGCCGCAGACTTTCTCAGTTAAGGGAAGGCTTGAGGTATCTACACGAGGTGAAGGTAACCCTGCACAACCATGCCTCAGGGATGGCTGCCGGTCCCAGATTGCGCCCTCGGCTCCCCCACCCCCACCCCCGCAGTGAACCAACCCTGGAGAACTGGCCTCCCAGAGGCTCGCTCTTTCACTCCAGTACAAGTACGTAGCCAAACACCGGAAAATCACCACCTCACCCTAATAAACAGCTAATTTTATTCTATTTAATGGTACATTTGTCGTAGCGGTATCTGTGAGTTTTGGCAAGTGTTAAAAAATCATTTCATCTTAAGTGAGTAGAATGTGGAAACGTAGTTTTCTGTGCGAGTAGCTGGGGGTCTGTGCTTTCTCTCACTGGCACCTCATGCACGGTGCAGACCACAGCTCTTCCATCTCGAGCTGTTCAGAGGCGGTTTCGCATCGCGCTCTTTCGCTCTTTAAGTAGAGAGACTTGGAATTGTGTACTTGTTTGCGTTGTTTAGATCCCGCATTGCTGCTTATGCAGCTCACCAACGTGACTTTAAAACAGCTGTAATTTTAAAAGATGCAAAAGTTAGTTCGCTTAGGCGAGCCTCAGTAAGGCAGTTCTTGGTTTCCTGCTAATGTTTTGCTGGTAACAGGCAGCGGTCAATCCCAGACTAGCATTGTTCGTTTTATTCCTTGCCTCTTTCCCCTAACAGCAAATACCAGAAAGTTCTAACTGTAAGAAGACGGCCCACTCCACCCAAATTTCTTTATACAATGATGAGAAGAGAACTACAGGTGAAATAGACCCTTAGGCTTATGGACACTTAAGCTACCCTTTTGTAAAGAACCATCTATTTCTTTACAAAAATATTCAGCAGAAGCTGTTTCTGAAGCACCAGACTGATAAAAATGCCTCCTTTTACCATGCTCGCCCTTTGGCTTCATACCTGGCCACTGTTCTCACTTTCTTGCAAGTTTTTCCCCTTGTAACATTGTTGTGAAACAGAGGTTCCATCAGGTTATCTTGCTTTCCTGGGCGTCTGTAATTATGAAGTTGGTCTTTTCTCCACCCCACTTAAATAAAAAGTACATGCACGGCTTTGAAAGAATTAGTTGTCTTTATTGCGCACCCTCCTTTTTTTTTTTTTTTTTTTAATCTCCTCATACACAAATGATACTTTGCTACGGCTAGGTTGAAACTAAAGTGCCTAAAACGTTACCAGCCCGGGTAGTCCCTGGAGCCATCGAAAGCCCAACTTTGCGTACTCCTGGAACCCGCACCAGAAACCTCGATTTGGAGTCCAGTTTGGAAATAAATCTGTGCTTTTCGCGGTGAAATGGGAACTTGCCCAAGCGATGCATCTGGCTTTAGATTTTATGGGGAATATGATCTCGAAAAGGCAACGCCTGTTTCAGGCGTGGCAACATGCCCCGTGCGGATCTCTGGGGGCTCCCTCCTGCAAACAGTGCGCGGGGCCTCGACCCGCAGGGCCTCAGCCAACCTCTGGGCGCCCTGGTTTGGGTTAGCCCCACACCAGCGTTCTCCCTTCCCGGCTTCGCCTGGGGTCGCTCTCGGCGGCAGACGAAGCTTTTAGACCAGAGGAGAAAACTTGAGGCTGAGATCAGATGTCCTTAAAGGGGCTCAGAAAAGGGAGAGGCTCTTCGCAGTTAGTGCCAAGAAACTCGGACACCCCGCGCTCCACGTGAGGCGAAGAAAACTGTCCTGGGGGAGCACAAGTGTTCCCCAGACTTTGCCAAAATTTCTAGAATCCATAAGTAACGTGTCCCCTACCCCCGCCCACCACCGGTTTATTTCATAATCCCCTCCCTTCAGGTTGCGTTAGGCGGGGACCCAGGCGGAGTGGGGGTAGGGTGGGAGGTGGAGTTGGGGTGAGGTGAGGAGGTTGAGCCTTCCCGGTTCAGCGTTCCCCCCGGCAGCGGAAACCTGTAATGGGTTAAATGGCGCGGCGGGGTGGGCGTGGGGAGTGGTGCCTGTGTTCGGCCCCGACGGGCGGGAGAAGCGGGGTGGGGGTGTGGGATCCCGGAAAGGGCCGGGAAAGCGGGGACCAAGGGGGGGGGGAGGTTGTGAAGCGAGGGTTTCTGCAATTGGGGGTTGGCTTCTAGGAAGATGCGGGCGGTAATGGGGATGGGCCCGGTAGCCGAGAAGCCAGGCACTGGTTAGTACACGTCTTGGCCCCCCCCTGGACAGGGTCATGTCTGGAGACCTCCTTGGCACCGAGCTCTGACCCGTGGAGAAGATACTCCCCCTCGGGCTCTCTCCGCGAGCGGGGCTGGGCGGGCGCAGGGAGGCTGGCGGTGCGCCGCGCCGAGCCCAGG